CAATATCCGCAGTCGGCAGGGCACAGATAGCACATTGTGTAGCTTCGTGCTTAACAACAAACAAACAAACAAAAGATGAAAAAAAAAATCGGGTCGTTGCTAGCTGAAGAACAAGTGACTCTATTTTACTACCTTATACACCTTAAAAGGAAATTTGAAAACTCGAACATAAAACACATACTCTGACGTACCCTGTTATATTTAGTATGTATATCCCGTATACGACAAACACATCAAACGACTGCCGAAACGTAAAGCAATTACCTTATGGTTATTTATGTAGATTTATATATATATATTGTTGTTATTTTTCAGAATTTGCAAATATTCATATCACTTTATGCCCCCCACCCCCACATCAGTGGCAAAGAGGTATGTCTGCGGACTTACAACGCTAGAAACCACGTTTCGATACCGATGGTGGGCATAGCACAGATAACCCAATGTGTAGCTCTGTGCTTAACTACAAACAAATAAACAATCACTTCACGACAAACTTCTTTATCCGAAAAGTTTCTACAGACTGGTGTGTGACATATTTAATCCGAGCAGTGCACAAAATTAAAAATAGGTGTCTCTGTGAATTATCATTTTCTGTTAGTCATTTTTTTTTTGAGAGATCAAAGACTCACGACTTTTAATGCGTTTTTTGTGTGTCTTATGACACCAGGATCTGTTCTCTTTCCCCCCTCGTGCTCTTTTTACGTACTGAATGAAAAGCACCAACATGTTTTAAAGAACAACATCGGCTATTAGGCCTGGAAGACATGTCTTGAATTTTTTTTTTATTTGGATTACATGAAGTTGTATTCCTGACGTGAACAAATAGCTAGATTGTGTTTATTATATCAGGCCTATATATACAAATAGCTAGATTGTGTTTATTATATCAGGCCTATATATACAAATAGCTAGATTGTGGTTATTATATCAGGCCTATATTTTTAAAGCAAATACTATGTTCAGTCAGTATTATCTCGCTTCAAAATGAGGTCAGGACGATCTGGCCTTTTAAGTCAGAAGCTGGGTCTGAAGCTACCCCAAAATGTGCCTTAGCTTCCCCTGTAGCCCCCACACCCAAGAAACAGTCTTACTGTTAAAATTGGTTGTGTACTTCCTAAGTACTATGGTTAGTATGCCCACAAGATGTTGAATGCAGCCCCCTCTGTTTTATGTCTAGCTAACATCAGCCCCCTCACAGAGAAGAGGCTGGCGTTGTCATGGTCTTGGGATAATGAGATTACCTTAATAGATAGAAAAACCACATCGTGATTAAACCTATTTCTTCACAAAAATATTTTGGCCCAGCAGACCATACTAGTGGGCTAAATTTTAAGGCTGGTGAGATAATGGCTCACTAGAATAAAGCTAAAATAAAAGCCCGTATCGTAGGCTGTGATTAGGTATCACCAACAATGGAGAAATTGAAACATGTGTAACACAAATTGTTACTTTTTTAAATTAAGGAATTGAAACATCCGGGAAAAAAAATTAGTGGCGTAGATGTATTCGAACCATTAAAAAACGAACAAACAAAACATATAACTTTTGCGAACTGTATGCCACATACACATATACAGTATCTATAGTATAATTCCAAGGTATATAGCTTTCGCTCGCCATGTCTACTAAGTATTGATCAAGTCAGTATTACAAACTTCACCGTGCTCAGGATTGGCACGTGATATTTGTACTTAAGACTCACCCTTATTTTGAAGACAAAGTTTTGGGGAAAAAAAGCTACAGTCACATTTGAAAGATTTTTATTGAACAAAAATTCAATTTGCTACTTTAAAAATTAGTATATGTTATTCTAAACACAAAAGAGCTCAAAACATCAAAATAAGAAAATACCGTAAATGAAAAAAAGGTT